CCCCTCCTCCTCAAGATTTCCCCCTCTGCTACAGACCCTCTCGGTCCCCAACTCCCGTCATATTTACCATCTTCTCGGATTATCCCATGTTCCCATCACTATTTCTGTTCAAAGTACTGCCGTCAGGAAGGGGGAGGAAGAGGGAGGGTAAATAGCACACGTAAACGGGAAGCCGAGGAAGGTCAACGACTAAAAACCTCCTCCCCAAAAGCAAATGCGGCTCGCTGCCTCCCTCCACCGACCAATTACGATTTATCCCTAAGTACGACGTGCCGTGATTAGAAGGAGCGGCGCACCAATAAGGACAACACAATTGGTATGAATCTCCGCCCATACGATTATCGCGATGTGTCCCTTCCAAAGCTGTTCCGTCGATAACACGTTGTCGCCCTTTCATAACTGACGCAGCCCTTCGAGCCATTTCATTTATGCTTCTTTGCAGCGTCTGCAACATAGGAATTCTGTCGAATCGACTGTCGTCGTGCGGACTGACACGACGTCGACTAGCCTCCCAGCGTCGCGTAAATCCACAAACGTCGCGACAGTCGATACGGACGTCATCGCGCAATGTGCAGGCTCAACGAACATCCAAGGCGACTTCGCTGCCAGCAATGTACGGTAACATCACTTCAGTCAAGTCCCGTAACTTTCAAGATATTTCGCTTCAGATCACAGTTTCGTAGACCAACTCGACCAGGACCGCCTTCTTCGGCACTCCCAGTGAGGCCACCACCGCCGCGTTTGAGGAAACCACCACAGCGCAGACGACGCCCACGACCAGCAAGACGCGAACCAACGCCGTCCACCCAACAGAGCAGGGCCCAGCCACTGCAGAACAACAGCAGGTTTGTGTGAAGGTCACTTTTGGTCTCCGTATGAATGAACCGGAGGCTTCTCCAGGCCTCGAAGTCGTGGACCAGGAGAAGCAGTGCCACAGCGGAATCTGGCGCGGCCTCTGGCATCGGTACCACAACGACGACAGGCTCTACGATCAAGAAACTCCACTTTCTCCTGAATCTCACCCATCAGGCAAATTCGCTACAAAAATCACGATGATATTAATAAACATAATAGAAAAGTGTAACTAATATCACTTCTCTGCCGGTTCACGCCGGTTTACACAAAAGTGCTCCAGCTTGGAAGCGTTACCTTGTCCTGGTAGCAGGCAACAGCATCCCTTGTATGTCAGATATACGTTAAAAAGGAAAGCCTATTGAATTGTTGAAATAACAGAATTTTGAAACGTTTACTACGACCATTTGCGTAAAACAAAACGCAGTGCCGTAATCCGGTGAAAAGCAAAACGCGCGCGGTTGCTTTGGGGACAGACAAAGGTAAGGTAGCGTTGAGACTTCGCGATGACGCACGTCGACGCGCTTCAGTCGCAACAGCGCTCCACTCGTTGCCGCAGACGCACACGGCCGACGCTGATCGATTCCCGTCTGCGACCGCTCAGTTGACGGGTGCCGGCTGCTTCTGTTTAAACTACTGGGGATTGCGTATCAGGGGTATGGGGATGTGCGAAATGCCGGCGAAAAACCTGTGTTACGACCCCCCCGCCCTATCGGAATGGGGTCCAGGCACAGCCCCATTACCGCTAGTTCGACAGCGATGAGTATAGTAGTCTGAGCGAAGAAAAGTTTTCGAAGGGGAGGGGAGGGGATTACAATAACTAATGCACGTATATCCAACCAAGCGTTACAGAATGCATTATTAGATGCATATAAACAAAATATTAACACGACCCCTTTTCACAAGAAGAATCAGATTATCAAATAAGTTTTGTCTTCACAATACGTCCACAGAGCAAAAGTACACCCCCCCCCCCCACTGGGTTTGACACAACGATGCTGTACCCTGATCAGAACTGGCCGTCTGCAGCAGCGTCCGCGTCCTTAGGCATTGTTCACAGTCTGCGACCCTGACGAAACGGCGGTTGGGAGAAAAGCAAAAAATAGTCATCGATCGGAGAATCGCCAACCGCTAGTTTCGGCGGTTGGGCGAAAAGCAATAGATGTGTATCGATTTCGCTGGCGAAAAACGCCACGGCGATCGAGCTAGCGTTTCGTCGAAGGCGAAAAACGTCGCGGTTTGGCGAAACGCCCGTCGATTCGTATCAAAACCCTTTCGCCCAACCGCCAGACTCTTCGCCCAACCGCCAGTCGATACGTATCGAAAGCTTTTCGCCGAACCGCCGCGTTTCAGAGAAACGCTGGACCGCAGACTGTGAACAATGCCTCATAGTTAGAGCATCACTGCATTTGTGGCACGTCGACGCGCGTCATCGCGAAGTCTGAATGCTGCCTTATTGGTGCGCAGACCTTCGCCGCGTAGGAAATAGTGCCTGCCGAGAAGTAAAAAAAACTGGCAACAAACATGGCAAGTATTGCGGCTTCCTGTTGATTGGACCTTTTACAGATCGCGGGAAAATGGGTAACAAACGAACGCGACAAGTTCGAGTCCAGATCAACTAGACCCTCGTAAAAATTCACGTGACGTCAATTGCAACTGTCCGTGTCGTGTCCGAAACTAGGATTTCCTGACCCACAATCCAAATACCACTTACATGTCGTCTACATGCATTAAGACACAATAAAAAAATTTTTTTCGCTTTTGAACAACGATGAAGTAGAAACTTCAACAATCAATTCTGAAAGAAATGAAACCTCTAGTTGTCGTAACCTACTATCGCACAAGATGAAAATTTTCGACACATTCACATTGCGATTACCCGGGCGAAACAGCCACCAGTTAATTGACACACTGCAACGATGCCACATTGCATCGAATAGGTTCTGGTGCGAATGCCGCGCACGTGACCCTGCTTGCAACGTGTTTTCACCACACCGTGAATGTGTTGAACTACACCCCACGAACTAGCCATCTTCAGAGCATCATATACATTCCTATACTTACAACTGCCGGCGACACGTTACTAAAATTACACTATTTCCTAACCTATTTTAATCCAACATAATTACAAAACTACAAATCTTTACAAAAACATAAACTTGAAAATGTTCAACACATCAAAACCAAAGGAGTCCTATGGCCATAAAAACGATCCAAATATCAACAGTAAACAATGACTCAACTGCTTCGATCTGGGAAAGCAGCATCCATATCCGAGGTAATCGTGTATGAACTTTATCTGAAGAACAAGAATATAGCACTCGTAAAAGTGGCAAGAATAAGGTAATGACAAACAAAATGCAGGCCACCTTCTTAAGCAAGTTCGCAACATTCTTTGGCCGCTTTTTTATCGCGCCAAGTGGCCTTCCAGCTGGCTCTGCTATGCTCGACGCCGTTTATCAGGGAAGCTGCTTGGTTCTTTAGCGGGTCCAATCTTCCCGCTTGTATTTTGAATGACTAACGTTCGGACTTTGCTTCAATTATTGAAACCATTCAAGTCAGATACGGTTACTCTACGGCGTGGTCGGACCAAAAAAAAACAAGCAATGTCATAATAAGGCTTCATAAGAAAAGGAAACATCGCTTCGCAATATTTATCCCCTCCGCCTGCTTTTCTTATTGCAGGCCAAATTTTGATCAAAACTTTTTCCGGAAATAGATATAGCAAAAGTACTGCCCACGGGCTAGCTCGAACACCTGAACATGAATATTGGATTGCAGCGGAATCGCCTAGCGTCTAACCAAACAACACCAAAAAACTGCTTCCCATGGGTAGCTTGACCCTCTGAACACGAATATCACACCTAATTGGACACAGATTTCTTGAAAATGAGCCACGGTGCCGAGACTGGTCTGTATGGATGGCGTGTCTGTGGCGTGGACGAAAGTGTTCTGCACCAAGCGGATCTGATATTCGCGATGAGGGGGTCCAGCTACAACTGGGGACCGAATTTCGGACAAGGTATCCTGGGGAAATTCTCGATGCTTGAAATACGAAAACTGCGGTGATAGGGGGCAAATGGCGCCCGATGCTTCGCGGTAAAGGGATGAAAAAAAAGAAACTGAAGAACGTCAGCTACATTGCATTCGAAGAAAGCAGAAACATGAAAATCGCTGTGTCCCCTGATTAGATATTGCTATCATCAAATTTTTTTGAGTGGGAATCCAAGAAAACCCTCGCTAGCAGGCCAATTTTGTTTGTCGTAATCATTTAGCTCTCCAAGGCAAATCGCAAAAAAGAAACGATTATGCTTACTCGAACCCAACACTAGTCCAGAAACAGGTTCATTGAGAAGTTCACTTTGCGAGGTGCAAATGCTCTATGAAATTAAAATTAAACAATTGAAATTTAGTTGTTTAATGCTGAATTTGGTCAAATGTAATCAACTCATCGCCTCAGGGAGAGGGTGGGGCAAGGAAGTCGTAATAATCTTCAGTAGTGGTAATAAGTATAGCATAGGTCTTGAGCAATGATGCTCTGAGTTGCCAGTGTAGTTAACGATGGGGCAGGGCTACCCAGCATTATAAGGCAAGGCCGACTATGGTCGTCTGGGCTCTCTATGATGGAGCCTC